GAGAGACTCAGTCATGAGTCGAACTCAAACCCTATCTAGGATCGAGTCGCGAATAAGGCTAGGAGCCGTGTATTGCATTTGGGCTCCTTCTTCCCGCGCTCTCTTTGATCTTGGGTTGTTGTTCCTGGCGAGTTCGAATGCTCTCTTCTGCTGTGGATTTCGATTCTGACTCTGGCAGCCCATCTCTCCATTTTGTGTTGTTGTTGCTGCAGCATCTGCTGCTGTTGCTGCTGCTGGTGGTGGTGGTTGCTCCATTGCGCTTTTTTCGCTGAGCGAGGAGCGAGTAATGGTAATGACTGTCGAGCGTCCAGCGCCATTGTCCTCTATCTTCAACGGAATCGGAGATTCGATCTTCTAGAAACACGAAATTTCGGACTTGATAGCACATTTACTCTGTAATCTCTATAAATGGTACGTTAAATAATTCAAATTACTTCCTGACGTATTTGTTGTTCTTCGGTACTCATCGACCAATCAAATTTCTGCCTTCCACCCCTTTTCGGCCTCTAGGAAACACACCACTATGGTGCACGTGCAAGTCATAAGCTTTAAATTCGCTCATGGACACTGAAGAAAGTGAAAAAAGACCATGGGAACATCTCTCCCCCCATCCCCCATCGTCGTTCCGGCCAGCCATGTCAATCAGAAGTCCCATGGACATGCAACATGAGGCACACAGACACAAAAGACACAAAGCCGCTGCAGACTTGACTAGTCGCATCCATAGCTAGCAGAACAAACAGTGTTGTTGTTAGACCTACGCACCCAGCTTGGCTGACTTCATCTCGTGGGCTGCACTTTGGCTGCTTGCCACCACCAAGTGGCCACAGGGGGATGTGGAAACGGACAATGCTCAACTTGGCCTTCACCATTGTGAACCTTGCTTGGGTGGTCATGATGCTATCATCTTTACTGCTACCTAGTCCTTCTCCTTCCCTCATCATGTCACGCATGATGCACATAAATTGCATGTCAATCCCATGGCAGGCAGGCAGCAATTCATTTTGATCTCCCTAGCTAACTAGATGACAGAGAAAGAAACTAGAAGAGAGTACAGAGTATGGAACTTCACATATGAAATTAATAAAACTATGCCTTCTTGTCCTGACATTCTGCATGAGCACATTCATTCGTCTTGGAGTTGTGAAACCTCCAGAGATAGTCCTTCACTAGCTGTTCACCCTTGGCCTCCCACTCCCTTCTGTTTGCCTGAGCATAACTCAAATACTCATGGCTTGAAACCCCAAAGACTCCACATGTCTCAAGCTTCTTCGCAAGAGGAATGATGTAGTAGTCAAAGAATCCCAATTCTCCCTGATACCAACCCTTGGATGGATCCCTGTCACTGCGGCCGTCCACAAAGGCCTGGTACATCTCATTGAACAAGCGCTCATTCCACTTTCGGAAAACAACCCAGTGCTGCATTGTGTGAGACACATCGGAAGCTTGCATGAGATGCTCCAGGACAATGGTGGCCTTCCTGTTGATGGCCAGAGGATCACGGGCCTTCTCTTCACAAGATGACCAGGTTCAGGTCCATCATTGTGAATGTGGTGATGGCAACTGACATTATTGACAAGGACTTGGGCGCTCAGAGAAAGGCCAGGTGGGAAAAGGCCTTTGCGGAAGAC